CTTATTTAATATTTTCCTTTCAACTGTATTATGTGTCACCCATATGTTGATATATGTCACCACAGTTTTTGTATTCGGCAGAACTTTGTATATAGTCTGTGTTACTATTTCTCATGAATAATCAGATTCCTTGTTGAATGCAGAATAAAACAGAAATAAAGAAAATAAAAATCAGATACCTGTTTTCCTAAGCAGTCTTCATCAGTAAGCATGTCATAAACTTTACAAGCTGTCTCTCTCTGCTGTACTATTTCACTGTCTCCATCGCTCTGATAGGCAAAATACGGCAGAATATTTACAAGTATCTTTGGAAAGCAGTCTGCAAGAATGTTCCTCCAGTCTTTTTCAATTTTGTTCGCTATGCATTTCACATCTTCAAATCGACTTCTAATGACCAGGTGTGGAACCAGAACTTTATAACAAGACCTACAGGTAAGGAAATGTATTTCCAAAACTCGTTCAAATACAACAGATTAAAAAAAAAAACCTTAAAATTTTAAGTACAATACAACATATGCAGTTTATCTGTTGTATAACCAAACTTGTAATTACTGTCGAGTTACAGCTATATATGACATTTCAACTGTTACAAGAGACATGATTAGGATTAATTATACATTTCTATAGAGAAAGATCGTAAAGCAGCATTATATCTGATAGTAAGGTGATTTTACATGTCAACTCACTTGTAGAACTCCTCCAGGCTAGAGTAGTTCAGAAGAACATAAGGAAAAGCAGATAGGGTGTACCCGCTAGCTTTCATTCTCAGCCACTCCAGCACTAGATAGTCTAAGTGGGAATTCATGAAGTCTTCTATACTTCTATAGCCAAAAATGTCAGACACTCTTTCCAAAACCTAGGCAATAAGTAAGATTATGAGATAATGTGCAAAGCATATGGTACCGAGCAAGAATCTGTTTCTATGCCTTCTTCCTAACTCATTCCTTTTTGCCTTCTTGCTCATCTACTAGTATTTATACGGTCCAATTTACACTTAATATATGCTATCACTTGTATTATCACAGGAAGTGCCATTATCCCCTCATGGTAGGTACTGTATAAACAAAATTAAAAGACTATGTTCTGAGGAATAATCTAAGGCAAAATATAACACATGAATATAGATGGATGAAGAAGCACAATGAACCAATGAGAAAGAAGTGGCCAGAATGATAAGCAATAATCTAAATATACCACTATTATATAAATCAGGAGTGGGCAAAATATGGCCTGTGGACTGCATCCAGCGCAGCAGGTGATTTTATCCAGCCCGTGAGCAGGCACCACCAATTAACTGTATTCTGCCCAGCACACAGCTGCCCCTGCTGTGTTTGCATGGGGTCCAAGCCCTGCCCACTTCCACTGAGGCACTGCATTTCGCTCCTGCCCTGACCCCGGTCCCAGCCAGCACACAGCTTTCACGCACGGCTGCTGCAAAGGGAACTGCTTAGCTCACCTGGAGTCCACAGGCTCCTCCTCATGTCTCTGCTGCAGCACTCTGGGCACCAGATACGGAAGTGCCAGTAAGCAGGGATAAGCTGGGTGGGAGCACGGATCCCGTGGTCTGCGCCCAGTGGGGCAGCGGGAACATGGAATCCAGGTCAGCCTGGTTGCTTCGCGCAGGGCTCCACAAGGCTCACGTGCAGCTCTTGGGAATCATGCGCCACCAGAGGGAAGCCCCATGTGATGAAGCTTGTGGCCTTCACTGCTGCCCTGCTGCCACATGCAGCTCCCAGGACTCTACTGGAAGTGATGGCAAGCCCTGCGTGATGGAGGCAGGCCGGCTCAGTCCTGCTCCCTGCTTCCTGTCAGAGTGCTGAGAACTGCACATGGCAACAAGGAACAGGGCCAGGCCGCTGGCTTCATTGTGCAGGTCCCCCCTCCCCCCACAACTCTGACTGGGTCCCAGGAGCTAAACGTGAGCTGTGGGGAGCCCCACACAATGGAGGCAGGCCTGTCTGGAGCAGCCTGCCACCATGTGCAGCATCCAGAAGTGACTGGAGCCATGCACCACCAGGGGCTCTGCCTACATAGACCATGAGTACCCTGATGGCCTGCTGCTGCCAACAGCAGCAGGGGCTGTGCGCCACAGGGGCTCACAACCTCCCCCCCACAACAACACCCCCACACCCACCTAACACACACCGCACCACATACCAATCGCCCCAACCACACCCCAGACAATATAGAAAAGTAAGACAATTTTTGAGCTATTATGCAGTCACCTCTATATACACACTATGTAAGCACACATAAATCAGGACAAAAATATTTTTTTAAATAAAATTAAAATACGTTATAGTAGATGTTTGATTTTTAGAATATGATTTGGTTTTCTTCTGGTTCCAAGATGGCAATCCCCCTCCCAAAAGGAGTACTTCTGGGGGCAAGGAGAGGGACTTCCATTGGCAATGTTCAGGGATTAGGGGGCAGGACTTCCAGTCCCAAGACTGGAACCAGGGGATGGAGCACCTGTCAAGGGGCAGGGCTACCCTTGAGGCCCCTGACAGCTCATCAAAACTCATTAACTGGCCCTCCAGCCAAAATAATTGCCCACCCCTGAAATAGATTATCTTGATTTATGTAAAGAGGAATGAAACTTTAATTGCAGCTGATACTGTCTGCCCACTTCTCTGAATTCTGTAGAGCAGTGGTTGTCAACTAGGGGTATGCACACCCCTAGGGGTATGTAAGAGGATTATAGGGGGTACAAAGAACTCCGCATGCATACTCGCAGCAGCAGCGCAGCACGCAGGCAGCCAGGAGCGCAGCCCGGTCCAGCTGACAAGTTTGTTGTGGGGGCAGGGAGTGGGGCAGGGGCTGCCCAGCTAGGGCAAGGGACTGAGGTGCTCATGGCTCCATCCCACACCCTGTCCTGCCCCAGCAGAAGTGCTTGCTCCTGCCCCACTCCCTCCCTCACCACGGGGCCTCAATCTGCACTCCCTCCCCCCACTTAAAAACAAGAAAAATAAAGGAGTACATTAGCTGGAACTTTGAGACAGAAGGGGTCACTTGTTAAAAAAGGCTGAAACCCCCTGCTGTAGAGTAACCACTCTAGTTCCTTACTGAGAAAGGAATTTTTCCAATATCAACATCTTTGCTTTACTTTCATAGCCTAAATATATAGCCTAAATGAACTTTTCCCATGTACTACTTGCCTTTTTAATAAGCTGAGCTTCTAATCCATTCTCTTTTACAGACTGGCAAATAGCAAACAAAGCCTGCTTTTCACACACAGGACTGCAGCATAAAACCATGGTTATGAGCGTCAACAGAACGGCTTTTCTATTACATTCCTTGTCCAGAAGATCATCAGGGCTTGCATTCGCCTGTGCCTTCATAATAATGAAGAATAATTTAAAATGTTAAACAAGAACAAATATCTGTACTGATACATGAGCTTAAACTATTTAAACTAAAAAACCCTTTATATCAGCGTAGTGGGGTTAGCTTGTTGAGCTTCTGAGATGCAGGTGGGAAAGGGAATGGACCTCTTAGCAATCCAACTGCAACCTTGTTGCTTACTGAGGCAGTGACAGCCAGTGCCTCTTCTTTGCATTTGTAAGACTAGTGATTGTGATAAGACGACCGTGAGGATGGTAATAAACAAAATGTGAATAGATCTTCCAGAAAAGTAAGTCATAAAGATGGAGGAAAGAAAAAGGACAAAATGAAAGATACTCCTATGAGAGAAAAATGAAATTGCAGGCATCCTATAGTATGAATGTAGTTTTTCCTTTTCTTTAGTTATCCACCAATCTTGAAATTTTATAAAAGCAAAGGTGGGGCTTTCCAAAGGTCTCATTAACAATACTGAAAATAATATTTTCCTTATTAAAATGTAAGACTTTTGATTTTATATTGCACAAAATGCAGCATTCATGGGCACACTCCCTAGGAACTGGGAAAATAGAGTGGGAAAAATATCCTTTCTACTTGTATCTTTTCTCTCTCAAAAAGAGCTGTAGGAATTATATATATTACATTGCAGTTATACCTATGATAGATTAGTAGCTGCAACACAGGCTGCCAATCCACAGAGTACTTCAACTCTAATTCATCGAAACTCCCGTTGGAGATGAAAGAATATTTTAGGGTCACTGTTTTTTGGTTTCTAATCTACCCAACAAGGATACGAATTAATATAATTTGTGAAGGTGGACTCTGAGATACCTCACAGGGCCCCTTCACCTCAGTGAAGGTGACAGTTTGCAAATTAACCAGGGCTGTATGACCCTCAACAAACAGCAGAGGAGCATATGCTTAATTCAGAAGCTTGCTATAAATTAGGTGGATTGTGAACCACTCAGAGAGAAATGATCTAGGTTCTAACTTTATTGCATAGTACTATCCACAAAGGAAGCAGAGAGAAAAATTTCCACACGCTTATTATGTGCATTATCCATAAAAATCAACATGTAAGAGTTAAAAGGAAGCTTTAAAATACCCCATATACGAGTCTAATACCATGGGCATTAACATGCACGCAAATATTTAGACTGCAAATTCATTGGTACAGGGACTACCTAGTACTGTATGGGCAGATTTACACATGCAATTAATGCAACTGAATAATCTCTAGCACAATTTGAGCTAGAGTAAACTAATCCCAACATCACCACTGACATATGCACACAAGAGTAGTAATTTACTCCACCATCAGATAGTACTTGTGTCTGATGGCACTATCTGATGGCACACTAAATTAGTTTACATCAGCCTAATTACCACGCATGTGCAGACAGTGGCACTATACTGGGCAACAAATTAGTTTACTGTGCAGTAAAGTGCTCTTGTAGATATGCCTTGTGTTTATAAACTGCTTGGCACAATGGGGCCTCATTGTTCAGCCCTTAAGTAGTAAACCTAGATAAACTGTACTAGCAAGTATTCATAGGAAGAACAGTATGGAAAATAGCAGCATTAGGTTGAACATTATAGCACGGCCAAGAGAACAACTGGGGAGGTGCATAAGAATTTTTTTTTTTTGGCTACCCGATTCATTACCCCAGAGCACATGGAGTCCTTCAGGAATGACTATTTCTTTAGAAAACTCAGCATTTTGGCATTAATGAGTATTTAATCATATGACCCTTATTTACCCATAGCTAGTGATTAGATATTAATTAGTACCAGATCTCTCATTCCTTCTTGCACTCTGAGGTATACATCCTCAAAAGCCTTCTGCTGAAGCTTCAATGGAAGAGGTTTCAATAATCCAGATGAATCTCTCTGCTTCACATCTTGGAACAAACTTAAAAACAGGGGTAGTTATTTAGCATAACAATTAACCTACAGAATCATTGTATACTTTACAAGATAAATGATGAGATTCCTTTGTTTTGAAAGAAAGAGAGCAGCCCTCTGGAGTTCCATTTCTCCCCTCACAGGCCTTGTGTTGCAGCAACCCTCTCCTCCTCCCTCCAGATGGCAATAAAAACATCTGCTAGAGGAAGAAGGTAGAATTGATTATTTCTGCCCAGTCCTTGACAGCCAAATGCAAATGAAACATTCTGATTCCCTGTCACTTGCAACTCATTTGCCTCATGGAATAATGTCAGGATAAATTTATCAACTATTTAGGAAGAGTTTCTCAGAAGTTCACTTTTTATAGGAACACTTATGCGGGAGCTGCTCGTCCAGTGGGTCCCACCACTGCTTCTGCCACTCATCCAGGAGGGCATGGGGAGTGGCATGTGCCCCGGATCTGCGTGGGCCCCGTGCAGCCTCAACTTGGGGGCACATCCTTCCACCCCCATGAGCTCCTGGACGAGCGACAAGAGCAGCAGTGGGACATGGTGGATGAGCGCCGGACCAGCAGCGTGCCGGCCCCCACACGAGCTACGGGTCTACCCCGTGCCCACCCTACCCTAGCTGGGCAGCGCTTGCCCCAGCCCCTGCCAGGCTGTGCTCCTTGCTACCGGGCTGTGATCCCCTCCAAGCTGCCAGGCTGTGCTCCTCACTGCCTACGTGCTGTGCTGTGGCTGCATGCACGCACAGGCATTTATTGGCCAAATTATTGGCCACATCAGGCCGATTTCCAATACAATCAATTTTCTTTATAATCAGTGCCGATCTGATATCGGGCCGACGCATCAGTGCACCTCTAGTATTAAAGTACCTCAGAAAATGAAGGCAGCTACACAAGGAAAGAAAATCCCAGCCAAATTTAATTGTTCTTAAGATATATATTTAATTATCTAAACAACGAAAACATGGTTTATGTCATCACCTGGTTATTGACTTTGCAGCAAGCATGCGAACTTGATGGTCACTATCTGCAAGGAAATGCGGGAAAGCTTCACTCACCAGAAGATCTTCATTTCTTACACGAAGTATAGCCCACTTTGAATAAGGATCAGCCTGAAGAAAAGGAACATACTTATATTAAAACTATTGTAACCTACTCTGAAACAAATACTTGATATTTCTGAGGTAAGCAACAACTCTTTAGGTACTATTTTCAAGCAAACATTTATTATTACACTTCCAGGTCTAATATCAGATCAAAGAGTATATAGTTCACCTCAAGTAGGGCTTTCATGCATTTCAGTAGAGCCACCCTTACTGGAGCTGTACATCTCCCTTCTTTTGTCAAGTGCCTGAAACAGAAAATATTGAAATATAGTATAACCTCATAAATCTGGTGTGCTTGGGACCAAGCACTTGCCAGAAATTTGAAAATGATGGATTTTTGAAACTGGAGCAGTGGCCGGTCACAGAAAGGGGTGTGGGGAGGAAGTAGTGGTGAGTGGTCCCAGAGTAGCAGCCGCACACAGAGTGGCGATGCAGGGTGGTGGATGGCAGCCACCACATGCAAGCTTTCCCCTCTGCGTCCAGGAGGGTGGGAGGAAGTGCTGGATTTTTGATAATATTGGATTTTTGGCATCTGGATTTATGAGGTTATACTGTATATAAAAACCATTATCAGTTTAAATATTGGAAAATAATCTAAAAAACATAACTGCTCTTTGTAATTCATTCCTTAAGTCGGTGGTTGTTAACCAAGGGTACATGTACCCCTAGAGGTACTTAAAGCGGTCGTAGGGGGGTACGCAGAACTCCACATGCATGCTTGCAGCTGCAGTGCAGCCAGAAACACAGCCCGGTCTGGCTGATAAGTTTGTTGTGGGGGGAGGGAGTGGAGATGGGGCAGAGGCTGCCTAGCAAGGGGCAAGGGACTGAGTTGCGTGGGGTGGCAGCTCCCACTGCTATGAGCACCCCAGGAGGGCATAGGGGGACATGTGTCCCTAGATCTGCATGCAGGATGTGGTGGGCTGGGGCCAGGGCCAGGCTGCTCCTGGCAGGGCTATTGGGCTGGGCTGCCAATGGGAGCAAGGGGGCAGAGGCTACAGTGAATTCTGGGGTGGCTGCAGCCCTTTCTGTAGCCCCCTCCCAGTGCCACCACCATCCACCCCAAGCACAGCCCAGCCCAGCCCCTGCTGGGAACAGGCCAGAGCAGCCCTGGTCCTG